CTCTTACATATTTTCTTAAATTGTTCTATTAGAATAATACATGTGAAATTTGGGAATTTTTGGATGTACTTGTGATTTGAGAAATTGGTTAGTATTGTATCTCTTGTGTAGATGTTTGGATGAACATGGGTGGCCGTTGATCAGGTATCGTAGAGTGGATAGATACGTTTCTTACTCCATGCGGGTTTAAATTTTTCCTACCACGCGTAGTGGAGTTGGTGCCTTGCGAGGACCAAACCACTATTCGCTCACTGGTACTGAGGCTGAGGGTTAGTATACTATTCCCGGGTTGGATTCGTTACTGTCAATGCATTGGTATACGCCCTTCCTAAAGTTAGATATCCATGCGAGGATTAAGTTATGTGTGTGGGATAGGATATTCTCAATGTGTTTATTCACGTGATGTCATATATCATACCTAAGATACAAGTTGTGGTTTGATATAAATTGTGGGCTATTGTTTATTGTGCAAATAGTTGATTATGATTTATTGTGGAAAGGAGTTTATGGTGGAATTAGTTTATTGTGAAATTAGTTATTGTGAAAATGGTAACTTGTTGAAAATTGTTATTTTTGGGAATTGGTTTTACTTTTTCATTTAATTATTGCTATTGTGTAAACTTGAGATCAATTGGAATGTCCTTGTTTTTCTTCAAAAGCTATATATGATATTTGTAAAATGAGACCGACCGTTTTATATACTTTTAAAACCTTGTTCGAGTTTGAAAAAATTTTCTTACAGAGCTTAGTGCTCACCCCCTACAAACAACATTTTTTTCAGATTTTGGTTTAGAGGAAGAGCTCAGAGTTAATGAGCCGATACATTGGGAAGCTCCGATAGATGGGAACGTGGATCCCGAGGTGGACGTGTAGAGTTATATTCTCTTATGTTTTNGTACGTTCTAGTACTTTTGTCTGATGAAAAAACAAAAGTATTGGGAGCAAATGACGTTCGAACGTGAGTTACGAAATCTAGGTTTCAGAATCGCGCACAGGAGACTATTTCTTCCACTATAAATACTTAAGAACACCTCTAATAGCCTTATTTCAACATTTATAACCCTAGAGAGGCTTACAGAGAAAGAAATAAGGGAGAAAATACAAGATCAAGAGGGATTTCCACATTGAAGAGGATCAAAACTTCTAATTTTTCACGAACATCAAGGAAGAAGAAAGCTAGTGGTTTCCTTCCACTCTTGTCCATTGACGCCACGTCATATATATATGTATGTTTTGACTCTCAATCATATATATATGGTATAAAATTATTATTTATTTATGCTCTTGCAAATATTACCACATGTTGAAGGAAGCTATGGTTGAGTAGCCATGAAATCTCTTATCCTTGTCTTGAAAACCGTAGTTTTTAAGAAAAATGAATTTTTCTCTCAATATTCTTTTGTTCTTGATTTCAAAACTCTAGTGCTTTGTATTGAACAATAAAATGGTATTTTTGATGATCTCTTACATATTTTCTTAAATTGTTCTATTAGAATAATACATGTGAAATTTGGGAATTTTTGGATGTACTTGTGATTTGAGAAATTGGTTAGTATTGTATCTCTTGTGTGGATGTTTGGATGAACATGGGTGGCCGTTGATCAGGTATCGTAGAGTGGATAGATACGTTTCTTACTCCATGCGGGTTTAAATTTTTCCTACCACGCGTAGTGGAGTTGGTGCCTTGCGAGGACCAAACCACTATTCGCTCACTGGTACTGAGGCTGAGGGTTAGTATACTATTCCCGGGTTGGATTCGTTACTGTCAATGCATTGGTATACGCCCTTCCTAAAGTTAGATATCCATGCGAGGATTAAGTTATGTGTGTGGGATAGGATATTCTCAATGTGTTTATTCACGTGATGTCATATATCATACCTAAGATACAAGTTGTGGTTTGATATAAATTGTGGGCTATTGTTTATTGTGCAAATAGTTGATTATGATTTATTGTGGAAAGGAGTTTATGGTGGAATTAGTTTATTGTGAAATTAGTTATTGTGAAAATGGTAACTTGTTGAAAATTGTTATTTTTGGGAATTGGTTTTACTTTTTCATTTAATTATTGCTATTGTGTAAACTTGAGATCAATTGGAATGTCCTTGTTTTTCTTCAAAAGCTATATATGATATTTGTAAAATGAGACCGACCGTTTTATATACTTTTAAAACCTTGTTCGAGTTTGAAAAAATTTTCTTACAGAGCTTAGTGCTCACCCCCTACAAACAACATTTTTTTCAGATTTTGGTTTAGAGGAAGAGCTCAGAGTTAATGAGCCGATACATTGGGAAGCTCCGATAGATGGGAACGTGGATCCCGAGGTGGACGTGTAGAGTTATATTCTCTTATGTTTTTGACTAGGAAATTCATTTTGAGATAATGTGAAATCTAATATTTTTGTTATTCCACTGCAAGATAATAGTTAATTTTTGGGATGTAATTGTCATAGTTTGACATATTCTTTTGGATGATATTGTATATAGTATGAATGATGAATGAAATTCTCTTTAGTTATGAAGTTCATTTAGTTGTTGTCATCATGTGAATAGTTTTAGATAGTAATGCCGTCTAAGGAGAATTTTGGGGCGTTGCAGTATTAAAATGAGCTAATTTTGGGTTTTTTGTAAAATATTAAAAACCATTAAACAAAAGGAATAACTTCCTCAATCAATTCAATTTAATTGTAAAATTGATTTTTATAGTATTACAATTCTTCTGTATTAAAAGAACTAAAATATCAATCACAAAATTCCTTATATTTAGGATTATTGAACTGGAAAGCTATTATTGAATTTTTGTGAATTCATATTAGAAATCCTATTTTAGATGCGATTGATTCAAATTTTGCAAAATCAGATACAACCTCGTTGTCCTAATTATTAGGATGATAAATTCCATGTGGAATATTTTGACTAGAAAGTCTAACACCTTCAAATATTGGTTCTTTTCCTTTAGACCTACTAATATTCATGGATCTTTCAAAGGTAGTGGTAGGAGGATGGATTACCCTATAAGAATGAAGTGGAGAGGAGTTTGATCTTGGTTTATCAAAACTCTGGATTGAAGAACATCTGGATAATCCTTCAATTTTTAATTTGGAGATTTGGTCCGAAGCAAATTGAATTTGTACATCCCCTTCTGGGGTTTGAGATATTTGATTGAATTCCCTATTAATTATAGGTTGATGAGGAACTATAGATTGTAAATTCCTGATTTCGAAAAAATGATATCTTCCCATTGAATAGCTCTATTTTGAGTAATTCTATTTTTTCAATAATTTGACTCAATTAAAATTGTAGTACCTTGTTTATTGTAATACTTAGAATTTGGGGTTGAAGTCTTTACTTTATAATGAACTCTATAAGCTATATTGACTGGTTCAGTTACATCAATATTATAGGCAAAAGTTTGGATATTCAAAGTTAAGACTTCCATTATATTTCTATCAGTTAAAGATACTAATAAATTTAAAAAACAATTAAAATAAATACCAGTACTAAGACTAGACTCCAATACACGCCCATAAGAGATTCTTGAAAATCAAGACTTTCTAGCATCTCTTAATACTAAAATAAAACTTGTATTGGTGCCTAATAAGGTTAGAGGTTGTAATGCCACATGCACAAAACATATGTGAATATATTGATATTTTCTTTATATTTAGTAATTTCCCGATTACTAAACAATTGTAAAGTTTCCATAGAATTTTCTAAATGAATTGTTTGTTCAATTGTTTTAATTAACAAATTTGATTTAAAATCAAAATATCCAATATTATAAACCTTATTAGATTTAATTTCGGGCAAATGCCAATTTTGTAGAACATTTTCTACATATGAAAATTCAATTTTCAAAGCATTTTTAACAAATTCATTATTACTACAGAATTTTCTAGTCATTTTTTCTACCTTACTTTCACTCTTCTATCAACGATTTATTAGAACCAAAATAGCACCATTCCTTTCTATGTATAAAAAGCCAGAGTTCTTACGCAACTTGGGTGAAGAACTATGAGAGTTTCATAAAAGAAACAATTAGATAAATCACTATATGTGAATGCAAAACAAATATACTACTAATCACAAATGACTTATAGATCTACATATACATCGACAACAAATTTAAGCTAGTCTCTAAGATCATTACCTTTGTCTCAAGCTTGAAAATGCATCAAAGTGGTCTTGATGTAGAATTGTAATTTGACCTACACCGCTTGCAAACCCCACAACACCTTCACCAAGGGTGTATGTGTGAAGTTTGGTGTTACTAAATTTATTTTTTTGGTATTGGTGTGCATGTGTGTATTTTCAGTTGTATTGTTATGCTTGTTTTGGGATGTTAGTGTTTGCATGTATATTTTTAGTGTAGTATAATGTGTGCGTGTGTGTGTGTATTTTTGTGTATATTTTTAATATATTAAGGAGTGTTCTTTTGTTCTGTTAGCTTGTTTATACTTTTTTTGTACATTAGTTTATGTTTTATTTGGTTTATTAATATGTACTTATATCAAGAATTTTAATTATTTTACGAATTAACGAGTTTGACTGAATCCATTGTAATCCAATCCATTATAACACGTTTATTAAACATGTTAAAGTTTGTTGGACTTACTTTGCACCCAATCCATTTTGAACTAGTCCATAACCAACGCATGGATCATATCATAATACACATTGCATATGCATGTGTAAGCCCTACCCAAATCGGTAATGCCTAGTAATGAACTAGAGTATCCAAATTGCAATGACCACTTAAAAAATTATAAAGATTTCCAAATACAAATGTCGTACAAGATACAGATTGGACTCGTACACAACAATCTCCATATGCAGCAGGTTGTACAAAGCGCGGGCGAAGACAAATCTGTAATTCGCTAAACAAGGATGTCAAATGATTGGTCATGGACTTCATCGCTTCTCACTTGAGCTCTTCTCAAAGCAAAGTGAAGGCAGATCTGGAAGGCATCAAAAGCTAGGCCCATCACACAGACTACTCTTCTTCAGCACCGATTAACTATCTCAAACTCACCCTTGCCTGGTTTCAGAGCTCGCAGTAGAGAAGGCATTGTCATGGTGGACAACTCTGATTCCTCATCAGTACACTCACTGGAATGGGGAAATAATAGGGAAATAAGAAAGAAAAAGAAACCACTCAAGGTACCATTTAGAAAATTCATGTCTGGGAGAACCTTGGCAAATGAATCCCCGAACATGCAAAAATGATAATTTTGGTATGGATGACTGCTTGCCACCACTCAGCTCTAACCTTTGTTACAACTCAAAGGTAATATAATGAAGAGAAAAACACAAATTTACATTTTTCAAGAAATAACCATTCAAAAAATCAAGCATAGGTAAATCATCGGTAGAAGGATTATTTTAACGGCATAAAGTAACAAAGTTTGTGCTTGTAATCATGTGAGATCCCCCTATGTTTCATTTAAGGCGTTATCATGAGAACTTTCTATACTTCTTGTTTACTGATTCACACATTCTAAAATATGCCAAAGTTCACAATTCACAAATCAACCTTGCCCACATGAGGTTTACCAGTCCAGAATTCATTAAAAGTATGGAAATGCACGGAGTGACATAGCTTAGTGCAGCTTAGTATTTACCTTCTTTGCCTCTCATGAGGGGATCTTAGGCATGACTTCTCATGGTTGGTGTTTGCTGGATGTATGCCCAACAGGTTAACATCAAAAGGCTGGCATTGTTGGTCAGAATTAGCATTGGTGGAAAAAACTTGCTGCTCTTAAAACAAAATGCAGTCACTGACAATTTCTGCTCATTTTACTAGACTCTCTGGTCGCAACCGGGAGAAAGAAATCTCTTATAATCTTGGATTGATCAAGAAATTATGCTAACTTGCGTGAAAACACAGCACGGGAACACCCTGGCAGGGTCCAAGAGATTCAGATTCCGTTTCACCTGCTGGGATACCAGAACATCTTACCCTGAAAGCCTTGGTGTCAAGCATACAAAAAAACATCACCAAAGCTTCTGCTACCTTCCATCAGACCCCTAATTTCCTCTGCATCGACAGCAGTCAGAAAGGAGCAACAAATCTAGGAGTTCAGATACCCAGCACCAACTGCAATCTCCCGTGCCCTTGCAGTCCATTCTTCAACAGCTTCCTTAGAAGCAACAAATCAATCAAACCAAAACTTCCTGCTCCTCTCGATAGTATCATCAGAGACAGAAAAGCACCAACCACCCTTCTCCAATTGAAACTACTTGCAATCACAGCTAGGGCTAGCATTAGGAGCATAGCCAATTTTAGGAGAGATCTAACCTTCACACTTGTTATATCTTCAATCTCCCCTCCCAGATCTAGGATTTTCATTGGCATAGCAAGATATATGCTCAGGGAATCAAACTCTTAAGTTAACAAGATTAATTTATCGCCCAAAAGCATGTAATAAGCTTTAAGGACCCCTTTTAAGCACCACATAGTCTCATTTGTGCACTTGAAGAATATAAAAGTATCATTCACATAAGATACATGTCAAATCTCCAAGACCCCTTGTCATTGCTGTATAACTCTTCATAACTGACTGATCCAGCCGAGATAAGGATAGCAAAATAGCCTCTGTATGTAAATAGGCAGTAAAGTTTCACCTGGGCGAAGACCCAGGAGAGGCTGGAAGAAACCTAAGCTGCAACCATTAAGTAGAGCTGAATAGAAAACCAGCATGACCCATAAGATATCTATTGAGGGCTAAACCCACATTTTCCTGACACCCGCTCCAAGAAACTTCAGCTATATTGATTTTACACCTTGTTCATGTCAAGCTTAAATGCCCTTGCTTTTTCTGGTGGAGATAGTTCACCAAGTCATGAGCAATATAAAATTATCAAATATTTCTGCAGGTACAAATGCATTTTAAAAAGATGACACCAAAAGTTCATGGCTGGCCGAGGGAGGGTAACAATGATTTCAATATAACCTTGTATATTGTTAAGAGTATTAGGGTATTATGTGTAAATATAAGAGGGTGTATTCGTTTTTGTTATTATTGTAAGTTAACTACAAATACAAGTGGTGTGTTAGAGATAGGTTAAGTTTTTGACATCTCTCTGTTTCTCTCTAATATTATGTTAATTCTTTCAACTTAACATGGTATCAGAGCGTAACAATTCTAAATACAAATATTAACCCAGACTATGTTGTGACCCATCCGTGTGGTGTTACTGTCGAAGTTGGTGTTGCTGCCATGGTGGTGGCAACCGCTGGTCGGGTGTGAGACGTTGTGGCTGGCGTTGGTGGCATATCTGTTTCATGGCGGTGTGTGGCTGACGTTGGTTGGCGTCTGGTTGACGGTGTGTGTGGCTGACGTTGGTGGTGTCTAATTTTGGCACCGACTATGGTGGTTGTTCCCTTGGCGCAATCGACGTTGGAGATGTTGGTGGCATCTGGTTTTGCTTTGTGGTGGTGTGGCTAATGCTGGTGGCATCTAGTTTTGGCACCGTCTATGGTGGTGTTCTCTTGGCGTAGTCGACAGTAAAGGATGGAATAGAGTTTGGTTGATACCCTAATCAGTGAAGATGACCCAGTTCGAGTGGGTCAGTTTGAGGGTTTGGGTAACAGATCCAAGTCCACGGGCATAAACTATTCTCAAGCCCAACCCAGATCCAGTAGCCTTCAAACCAAACTGGTTCAAGTCAGGCTCAGTCCCGGTTCAACCCTGGTTTGATCCACTCTAATCTGACTTAGGTAGTTTTTCACCAGTTTAAACTAGTTCCTTCAGTTGTTGCTCCGGTTCAGTGATCCAACTAGTTTCTGCTATCCAGTTCAACTAGTTCTGCACTGGTTCAATCAGTTTTTACATCGGTTCAGTGGTTCGACGAGCCCAACCTGTCCAGTTCAATGATCCAGCTACATTCTCCAGTCCGATTCAGTGATCCAGCAACCTTTTCTTTTCCGATTCAATAGTGCAGAAGCTGATTCTTGTCCGATTCAACAATCCAGCTAGATTTTCCAGCTCGGCTCAGTGATCCAGCAACCTTTTCTTCTTCAGTTCAGTAGTACAGTAGCTGATTCTTGCCCAATTCAATGATCTAGTGATTTCCTTTTGCTATTTATTGTACTGCTATGAAACCCAAGCAAGATGCTAACTCCCTTGTTTCATCTTTGCCACCGATCTCTACTTCTCCGGTTCTTATTAATAGTCCCATGACTTCCGTTAAACTCAATGGGACCAATTATACTTTATGATTCCGCTCCGTTCAAGTCTTTCTTCGAGGCAAAAGTTTTAAGAAATATTTCGTTAATCTTAAAACCAAGGAAGATACTTCTGGGTATGATCAGTGGGAACAAGAGGACGCTCAGATTATCTCTTTACTGTTGAATAGCATTGAGCCTAATATTAGCTCTATTCTGCTCTATCTTAACACTGCCAAAAGAGATATGGGATCACTTGGCCACTATATATTCTGGTACAGGTAATTTTACCCGTGCTTTATGAGGTGTGCAAGCAATACTTCTGGTTGATAAATTTTTTGTAAGATTGAAACCTGAATATGAAATTATTCGTTCTCAGATTTTGGATGGTTCTAGTCTTCCCTCATTACTTGAGGTTTTCTCTAATTTATAGTGTGCTACTTTGTCTATGGTGTCTCCACTGATCGCTCAACTCTTGTGGTTCCTAGTAGTCATAATGATGGTCATCGAAGTGAACGTGGTGGTCGGTGCGGTTGTACAGGAGGTCATACGGGTGGTTGTGGAGGCCGTAGTAGACCTCGTTCTTGTACTCACTGTGGTCGTGGAGAACACACTGTTGAAATTACATGGAAAACCTTTTGATGCTGCTAATCAGATTTTCTATCAAGATGACACCTCGGTTGTTGCTTCCATACCTCGGTCAGCTTCACCAAACTCTAAGTCAATTACTATTACACAAGAGGAGTATCCTCAATTTCTATCCTAGCAACAAGTTGTTCCATCTTCCTCCACTACTACTTTTGCCCAGTTAAGTACTGCTTCCACTTGTTTTTTGTCCTCCACTCGCAGTCCCTGAATCAGACTCTAGCCCTTCTAACCACATGACTGGTGCGTCTGGTGTTTTTCTACTTATCAGTCTGCTACTTCCACACATAGTGTTACTCTTACTAAAGGTACATGCTCTAAAGTTTTAGATTTAGGGACTACTCACTTGAGTCCTAGTATGTCCCTATCCTCCGTGTTATTTGTTCCTCAGTTTTCTTTTAGTTTACTTTCCATTAGCAAAATTATATATTCTCTCAATTGTTCCGTGACTTTTTATCCCTCTTATTGTGTATTTCAGGATCTCAAGACGAAGAGGAAGATTGGTACGAGACATGAAGCTGGTGGCCTGTATTACTTTGACTTTGATTCACCTACTCGAGCTCTATAGACCTCGTTGTTTCCTTTTCAATGGCATTGTCGTCTTGGATATCCCTCTCTCCAAAATCTGAAACGCCAAGTTTTCAATCTTAGTTATGTGCCGTCTTTATCTTGTGAAGTTTGTCAACTTAGTAAGCATCATCGCATGTCCTTTCAGTCTACAATCAATAATCATGTGTCTAGTCCATTTAAGTTGATACATTCTGATATATGGTGTCTAACAAAAAATATTTCATCTAATAAATATCCTTATTTTATGTCATTTGTAGATGATTATTCTCGTATGACCTAGTTGTTTTTGATGAAAGCTCATTCTAAATTATTCTCTATATTTGAGACATTTCACAAGGAAATAAAACTCAATATGCTTGTCATATATGTATTTTACGTTCTGATAATGCTCCTGAATATGAATATGATCCTTTTCAACTTATCTTAATTAAACTTACATTATTCATCAGACTTCCTGTGCCTACACCTCTCCACAGAATCGTATTACTGAACGCAAGAACCGTCATTTGTAAAAAGTCACTTGTGCACTGTTATTTCAGATAAATATTCCCCAATGTTTTTGAAATGATGTTCTTCTTACTACTTGTCATCTTATTAATCGTATGTCATCCTCTATGTTAAATGGACAAAGTCTATATTCTGTCATTTTCCCTAGTAAACCCTTATTTTTCTTAACTCTTCAAGGTTTTTTTATGTGTCTATTATATTCACAACTTAGGCCCTGAGTTTGATAAACTTGACCCTCGGACTATCAAATGTGTATTTCTTGGATACTCCCGCACACAGAAAGGGTATCGTTGTTATAGTCCTTCCCTGCAACGATATTTTACTAGTGTCTATGTCACGTTTGAAGAATCTGTTCCATATTTTTTGACACCTGCTCAGCCTTTGAATTTGGACTTTGGATCGTCTCTTTTACCACCATCTCTTCCCTCATCGTCAGATATTCCACTGTCTACTGTGTTACCATCTACTTTACCTCTTCGTGTATACTCTCGGCGTCCTCGCCCATCGACTGAGGTGCTCGTACCGTTTTTCTTACCGCCTTCTGATCCTGGTATATCAGATAATTTAGACTCTTTACCTCAGTGTTATTTAAGGCATAAAGCAAACCAAAGCGACCAATGCTCCTAACGCTCAGGCAAGAAGCAAAACAAAATGATTTACTGAAACAAAGCGAACAGTTAAAAAATAAATAAATATTTTAGTTTAATTACTTCTAAACATCTAAGTTCTAATTTTATATATACTAAATATATATAAGTAAGTAAAACCATAAATATTTAAATTAAAACAAATACTAATAATATCTCAAATCTTAATAACAGTCTTTTCTGACTTACAAAGAAGTAGCATTAGAAAACCAAAACCATAACAGTCATAACTTAAACATTGAACTTCAGCAAAAAATCAGCACATCAGCATTTAGCAAAATCAACACTATGCCACTATCAGCATTCAACATTACAGCACTATTAGCAAATCAGAATCATTAGAAAATCAGACTTACAAAGAAGCAGCATTAGAAAACCAGAACCATAACAGTCATAACTTAAACATTTAACTTCAGCAAAAAATCAGCACATCAGCATTTAACAAAATCAGCACTATGCCACTATCAGCATTCAGCATTCAGCATTATAGCACTATCAGCAAATCAGAATCATAAGAAAATCAAACTTACAAAGAAGTAGCATTAGAAAACTAGAACCAAAAAATAGAAGCAAAAAAAACAAAATTAAAGGAACAGGAGCATTAAACAGAAAAAAACAGAAGCAGCATTAAACAAGTAGAAGCAGAAAAAACAGAAGCAAAAAACAAAAAAATAAGAGCAAAAAAAATAGAAGCAGCAACATTCAACATCAACATCAGCAACATTCATCATTAAAGAAGCAAAAGCAGAAAAAACAGAAGCAAAAAAAAAAAAAAAAAAATCAGAACCAGAACCAGAAAGAAGAACCAGAGAGGAAGAAGAGAAACAGAAGAGAGAAGAAAAAGATGAGACAAACCTGGACCAACGAGGAAGGAGCAGCGAGACCTAACAGTCGATTGTTAAAGAGGAAGGAGCAGCAGTAGCCGATCGTCAAAGAGGAAGGAGCAGTAGTAGCCGATCGTCAAAGAGGAAGGAGCAACAGCAGTCGATCATTGAACCTGAGCAAAATTAGGGTTTGGGTTTTACATTTATGGGATAAGGGGGTAATTGGGTGTATAGGTATCTTATAATTTTTTTTTTTCAATTGGCCCAATCCAACGATCCACAATAAAAATAAAAGATTGCATCGCCTTGCATAACTAAGGTGCTCACGTTTTTGCCTTTCGCTTAAATCTCAAGGCGCTCGCTTTTCCCTCGCTTTAGTCACGTTCGCTTTGTCTGGAGTCCTAAAGGCGACGTAACCTGGCTTCGCCTAGGCGAGCTTTTCAAAACACTGTTCTACCTATTGCTCTACAAAAAAGTACTTGTTAGTGTGTTACTAATCATCCCATTGCTCATTTTATTTCATATGATGTCTTGTTTCCCGTCTTCTCTTGTTTTACCGCTCAATTATCTACCACATCTATTCCTAAAGGATGCGTTATCTAGTCCAGGTTAGAGGAAAGCTATGGAGGAAATGAATGTCTTACATCATAATGGGACTTGGGATCTCGTTCCTTTACCTCCTGGTAAACAAACTATTGGTTGTCCTCGGGTGTATACTGTTAAATTTCATCTGAATAGTTCTGTAGAGTGTCTCAAAGCCCGGTCTGTTGCAAAGGGCTTTACTCAGACCTATGATGTTGATTATGAGGAGACTTTCTCTCCTTTTGTCAAAATTTTCTCTGTTCGTATATTGATTTTTTTGTCTGCTAATCTTGATCAACTCTTGTTTTAGTTAGATGTCAAGAATGACTTCCTACATGTTGACTTGATTGAAGAGGTATACATCCAGATGCCACCTGGGTTTACTGCTCAGGGGAAGTATGGTAAGAGTGTATGTTGGTTAAAGAAATTTTTGTACGGTTTGAAGGAGTCACCAAGGGTATGGTTTGGTAAGTTTTCAGATGAAGGTTTAGAGTTTGGTTTTCTTCAATGTCAGACAAACCATTCTGCGTTTCATAGACAGACAGATGTCGGATATGTTCTATTGGTGGTTTATGTAGATGATATTGTGATTACTGAAAATGATTCTAAGGAGATTGTCAAGTTAAAAACCTTCTTGCAAGATCGATTTCATACTAAAAATTTGAAAAAACTCGGGTATTCTTTGGGTATTGAGGTGGCTCAATCTAAACAAGGTATTTCTTTATCCTAGAGGAAATGTACTTGACATACTAGAGGAAACAGGTTTGCTGGATGGCAGACCGATTGATGTTCTTATGGATCCGAATCAGAAACTGTTGATGGATGATGGTGCACTGTTTGAAAATCCGGGTCGGTGTCACAGGTTGATTCAAAAATTCAATTATCTCACTATTTACTCGACCAGATATTTCCTATGCAGTCAATATAGTAAGTCAGTTTATGGGGTGTCCTAGAGTAGCACACTGGGAGGCAGTTACTCGTATTCTAAGATATCTCAAACGTGCTCCTGACCTTAGATTGTTTTATCGAACTAATAGACATTTTAAAGTAGAAGGTTTCTCAGATACTGACTGAGCTGGATCTCCTTTTGATAAGAGATCAACCACTGGTTATTGTACTTTCTTAGGAGGTAACGTCATCTCATGGAAAAGTAAGAAACAACCCGTGATAGAAAGATCCAGTGCTAAGGCTGAATATAGGGCAATAGCGCACAAGACGAGTGAGTTGACTTGGCTACTACACTTTCTCCAGGGAATAGGATTTCCAGTTCAACCTCCTTTACAGTTCTGTGACAATCAAGCAACTATTCATATCACTGTCAATCAAGTGTTTCACGAAAGAACCAAACATATTGAGGTTAATTGTCACTTTATTCGAGTCAAGATAGTAGATGAGGAGATTACGACTCCATTTGTAAAATCTGAAGATCAACTTGTAGATATGTTTACCAAAGCATTGAGTCGTACACGTGTTACAGCAATTTGTTCTAAGTTTGGATTATATAATATATATAATCCAACTTGAGGGGAAGTGTTAAGAGTATTAGGGTATTATATGTAAATTGCTAAGAGTATTAGGGTATTATGTGTAAATATAAGAGAGTGTATTCGTCTTTCTTATTATTATAAGTTAACTATAAATACAAATGGGGTGTGAGAGGTAGGTTAAGTTTTTGACCTCTCTCTGTTTCAACTTAACATATATGACTGTACATAAACAGGTTAAGTGATAGCCTTCAACCAGATAGGCATTTTCCTTCGTCAAAAAGAGGCTATGTACTCAGTAAATTCTCTCAACTATGTCCAGAATTTAAGAGGGTACAAGCAGAAGTTACTAAAGTACCAAACACTGCTCTCTAAGCAGTATAAAGTGTATCCAAAAAGAACAGCCGTTTTTCAGAGACAAATTCCAGTGACTAAAAAAATCATGACACATACAAAACACAATACATACAATATTACAGGTTTTTCTAGTTGTCAAGTATATCTCATGTTGAACATGGCAAAAAAAGGGAAATCCACTCATTCCAGGAGTCCATGAAACAGTGAGATTCGGCATGGTGATAGCCCAACTGTTTACAGTTTGCAACAGATAACATCTAGTAATAATAGTACGACAGCAAGTACAATTGACCAGAAACCGTTATCACCTTGTACTTACATTCTTCTTCTGTATATGACAACCATTACTCGCTATGCTATAAATCTGGCATCCCCGGTTAGATGCCCTTGGAAATGTGCTGCAACTCTAGGAACAGATCACAAGAAGTGGCCCAAAGTTCCTTTGAAAATTTGGTGCTGTAAGAAAGAGCAGAAGAACTGAGAGTCCTACCATTTCCACCAAAAAAGTATACTCCTGATATTTCCTGAAATCCAAAAATATCTGATGAGCTCAAAAATCATATTTGTACATATATTTTTGTTATAAGAACTTCTAATGACATTGGAAAAGAAATCCAACCATAATGCAACAAATAAAAAACAAACAATTACATTAAAGACCGATAAACTCAACACTAATAGACAAAACTCCAACAAACTGCTGTAGCTGAAAAATGCTACCACTTGGCCAATAGTTTTCATGCTTGATGAATACACCAATGAAGAAATCCAGCAACATCATGGCACCTTATTATCTTGTGATATTTAAGATACAACGCCCAAAAATATTTAGTGATTAATTTATTTAATCATTTTTATTTTAAAGTTACTTTTTTCCTAAGCATGTCGTTCCTTCAATCTTCAAGCCCCTTGTGGTGCTTGAACCCTGCCATCATTTGTAAGATGGGGTGGGACACACAAGCAGGCCAAGCTATCAAGAGGTGGATGCCCCATCCCAATTTGAACAAGGGATAAGAAACTTAAAAAGTTTCACTATATTTGGTGTACATATCTTGTTTTTCTACTGGTTCTATTAGTAGAAATATTCTTGTATGGAGCAATCTTATTATTAATAGTGTAGAGTAATATTGTAATTACTCACAATATCAATTTATTATAAATCAAAAGGTGCAGGACAACACAACCAACACAACTAATTATCTCTCTTTCCTTTGTTTCTTATCTCTTCTCCCAACCCCAATATCACTTTACTATTTCAACTTGGTATTAGAGTAATCATATGAGAAAATATAACATCAGAAAACACTACAAAGAACCTGGGACAATTTTATGTCGCTCACGTATTTGTGGCCGACTCTACATGGATCAACTCTTCAAGGGAATCTTCTNCATATTGAGGTTAATTGTCACTTTATTCGAGTCAAGATAGTAGATGAGGAGATTACGACTCCATTTGTAAAATCTGAAGATCAACTTGTAGATATGTTTACCAAAGCATTGAGTCGTACACGTGTTACAGCAATTTGTTCTAAGTTTGGATTATATAATATATATAATCCAACTTGAGGGGAAGTGTTAAGAGTATTAGGGTATTATATGTAAATTGCNACTATATAATATATTAATATTTAGTATATTATATTTGACACATGAAGTCCATTTAACATAAAACAAAAAAAGGCCAAAAAATAAATGTGTATTGTATATGTATAAAAAAATGACTAATTATCACCATTGTAAAAAAATGAGGCTAATTGTCATTTTTTTAATTAAAAACCTATCAGTTATTCACTAAAAATCCATTAAATTTATTCAATAAATGTTGTTCCAAATATTAGCACTAAGATATTAGCATAGTAAAATTACTAAACTAAAATTAAAAAACCAAACACAGTAAAAAAAATTAAAAATTGATTGACACATAATAAAGATTATAATCAATACTCGAATAGAAATAGAAACAATTTCTCGTAAAAAAAATAAAAGTCAAATGAAGGTCAATTGCAAGAATTCACTTGCAAAATTCATAAATAATAAAATTAAGGTCATATGGTGAAAGACTTAATATAATATAAAAGACAAAACAATTGAAATAAGAAAATTATAGAGTAGGTACAAGTAAAAAATATATCTATAATTTTTAAAATATATAAATATAAGTATACATATAATATTTTTTTTTTAAAATTGCGGGTGGGTCCGTGACCACCCTCAGCTCTTTGTACCTCTGCCCATGCATCTAGGTAGGTTTTTCTATTTTTGAATATTTTGGAAAAAAAAATAGGGCCTATTATTACGATCTGCATATTTTGGAGCTNATATTACAGGTTTTTCTAGTTGTCAAGTATATCTCATGTTGAACATGGCAAAAAAAAGGAAATCCACTCATTCCAGGAGTCCATGAAACAGTGAGATTCGGCATGGGTGATAGCCCAACTGTTTACAGTTTGCAACAGATAACATCTAGTAATAATAGTACGACAGCAAGTACAATTGACCAGAAACCGTTATCACCTTGTACTTACATTCTTCTTCTGTATATGACAACCATTACTCGCTATGCTATAAATCTGGCATCCCCGGTTAGATGCCCTTGGAAATGTGCTGCAACTCTAGGAACAGATCACAAGAAGTGGCCCAAAGTTCCTTTGAAAATTTGGTGCTGTAAGAAAGAGCAGAAGAACTGAGAGTCCTACCATTTCCACCAAAAAAGTATACTCCTGATATTTCCTGAAATCCAAAAATATCTGATGAGCTCAAAAATCATATTTGTACATATATTTTTGTTATAAGAACTTCTAATGACATTGGAAAAGAAATCCAACCATAATGCAACAAATAAAAAACAAACAATTACATTAAAGACCGATAAACTCAACACTAATAGACAAAACTCCAACAAACTGCTGTAGCTGAAAAATGCTACCACTTGGCCAATAGTTTTCATGCTTGATGAATACACCAATGAAGAAATCCAGCAACATCATGGCACCTTATTATCTTGTGATATTTAAGATACAACGCCCAAAAATATTTAGTGATTAATTTATTTAATCATTTTTATTTTAAAGTTACTTTTTTCCTAAGCATGTCGTTCCTTCAATCTTCAAGCCCCTTGTGGTGCTTGAACCCTGCCATCATTTGTAAGATGGGGTGGGACACACAAGCAGGCCAAGCTATCAAGAGGTGGATGCCCCATCCCAATTTGAACAAGGGATAAGAAACTTAAAAAGTTTCACTATATTTGGTGTACATATCTTGTTTTTCTACTGGTTCTATTAGTAGAAATATTCTTGTATGGAGCAATCTTATTATTAATAGTGTAGAGTAATATTGTAATTACTCACAATATCAATTTATTATAAATCAAAAGGTGCAGGACAACACAACCAACACAACTAATTATCTCTCTTTCCTTTGTTTCTTATCTCTTCTCCCAACCCCAATATCACTTTACTATTTCAACTTGGTATTAGAGTAATCATATGAGAAAATATAACATCAGAAAACACTACAAAGAACCTGGGACAATTTTATGTCGCTCACGTATTTGTGGCCGACTCTACATGGATCAACTCTTCAAGGGAATCTTCTGGAGATTTGTGCCAATATTTTTTAAGCCATCTAGGCAAGGGCGGAGCTAGCAAGTTTGCTTAGGATAGGCACTTTAATTACTCACTAAAATTTTTTTCCAGCTAACCAATCACACTATATAATATATTAATATTTAGTATATTATATTTGACACATGAAGTCCATTTAACATAAAACAAAAAAAGGCCAAAAAATAAATGTGTATTGTATATGTATAAAAAAATGACTAATTATCACCATTGTAAAAAAATGAGGCTAATTGTCATTTTTTTAATTAAAAACCTATCAGTTATTCACTAAAAATCCATTAAATTTATTCAATAAATGTTGTTCCAAATATTAGCACTAAGATATTAGCATAGTAAAATTACTAAACTAAAATTAAAAAACCAAACACAGTAAAAAAAATTAAAAATTGATTGACACATAATAAAGATTATAATCAATACTCGAATAGAAATAGAAACAATTTCTCGTAAAAAAAATAAAAGTCAAATGAAGGTCAATTGCAAGAATTCACTTGCAAAATTCATAAATAATAAAATTAAGGTCATATGGTGAAAGACTTAATATAATATAAAAGACAAAACAATTGAAATAAGAAAATTATAGAGTAGGTACAAGTAAAAAATATATCTATAATTTTTAAAATATATAAATATAAGTATACATATAATATTTTTTTTTTAAAATTGCGGGTGGGTCCGTGACCACCCTCAGCTCTTTGTACCTCTGCCCATGCATCTAGGTAGGTTTTTCTATTTTTGAATATTTTGGAAAAAAAAATAGGGCCTATTATTACGATCTGCATATTTTGGAGCTTTTCTCTTGTTTGGTTGGTTGGATCTATCTCCCGATTGGGCCTTGGGGAGAGTTTCATGAGTTACCCAATCCTCTATAATAGGTTTGGACATCAATAGTCTTTTTACATGAAGGTATAAAAGGTACAACATACCCTGGAGGTTGCATTTAGTAAGGAACAATTAGTGTATCATTTGAAAAAATCATTATAAGACCTAAAACAATCACCACGTGCTTGGTTTGATAATTTTAGTATTTTGTACTTTAGTATGGTTTTCAGTGCTCTACTTTAGACCANTGATATTTCCTGAAATCCAAAAATATCTGATGAGCTCAAAAATCATATTTGTACATTTATTTTTGTTATAAGAACTGCTAATGACATTGGAAAAGAAATCCAACCATAATGCAACAAATAAAAAACAAACAATTACATTAAAGACCAATAAACTCAACACTAATAGACAAAACTCCAACAAACTGCTGTAGCTGAAAAATGCTACCACTTGGCCAATAGTTTTCATGCTTGATGAATACACCAACGAAGAAATCCAGCAACATCATGGCACCTTATTATCTTGTGATATTTAAGATACAACGCCCAAAAATATTTAGTGATTAATTTATTTAATCAGTTTTATTTTAAAGTTACTTTTTTCCTAAGCATGTCGTTCCTTCAATCTTCAAGCCCCTTGTGGTGCTTGAACCCTGCCATCATTTGTAAGATGGGGTGGGACACACAAGCAGGCCAAGCTATCAAGAGGTGGATGCCCCATCCCAATTTGAACAAGGGATAAGAAACTTAAAAAGTTTCACTATATTTGGTGTACATATCTTGTTTTTCTACTGGTTCTATTAGTAGAAATATTCTTGTATGGAGCAATCTTATTATTAATAGTGTAGAGTAATATTGTAATTACTCACAATATCAATTTATTATAAATCAAAAGGTGCAGGACAACACAACCAACACAACTAATTATCTCTCTTTCCTTTGTTTCTTATCTCTTCTCCCAACCCCAATATCACTTTACTATTTCAACTTGGTATTAGAGTAATCATATGAGAAAATATAACATCAGAAAACACTACAAAGAACCTGGGACAATTTTATGTCGCTCACGTATTTGTGGCCGACTCTACATGGATCAACTCTTCAAGGGAATCTTCTGGAGATTTGTGCCAATATTTTTTAAGCCATCTAGGCAAGGGCGGAGCTAGCAAGTTTGCTTAGGATAGGCACTTTAATTACTCACTAAAATTTTTTTCCAGCTAACCAATCACACTATATAATATATTAATATTTAGTATATTATATTTGACACATGAAGTCCATTTAACATAAAACAAAAAAAGGCCAAAAAATAAATGTGTATTGTATATGTATAAAAAAATGACTAATTATCACCATTGTAAAAAAATGAGGCTAATTGTCATTTTTTTAATTAAAAACCTATCAGTTATTCACTAAAAATCCATTAAATTTATTCAATAAATGTTGTTCCAAATATTAGCACTAAGATATTAGCATAGTAAAATTACTAAACTAAAATTAAAAAACCAAACACAGTAAAAAAAATTAAAAATTGATTGACACA